GGGGGGGGGGGGGGGGGGGGGGGGGGGGGGGGGGGGGGGGGGGGGGGGGGGGGGGGGGGAGGGCGGCGAGTGGTTGCGAAGAGAGTTTTGGCACTGTTAGCTGGCCCATCGTCCCCTCCCCCTCCCTGGATCCGCCAATGTGCATGTGTGTGTGCGTGTATGTGTGTGCGCGCGTGTGTGTGTGCATGTGTGTGTGTGTTTGATTTCACTTAAGCGTTTCGTGTGCAGGGTTTTTGGGCGCTTTCACACTTTTTTGGATTTTGCGGCGAATCTTTCTTGCCCGCTACGGTTTCCGTATTTCTGGTTTAAATATACGCGGCACGTTGGCTTTTCATTCAGTCAATCTGCTTTTTTAGGGCGGTGCGGTCGTTCGCAGGCTCTTTGCTTCGTTTATTGTGGTTCTGGTCTGTGTTTGGGTCTTCTGATGCGTAGCTGCGCTTTTCCGCTGGGTCTTTGTGGATTCGTTTGCGTGTGCTGGCTTTTCTGCTTACGTAGCGTCGGCAAGCGTAGTGGTATCAGTGGGAGCTGGCATAGCTGGGGGAGTTGGTCCACATTTCGATGGTAAATTGGTGCTGGTATCTGCTAGGGAGTCAAACCCGTCACCCGCCTGCCCGTAAGCAGCCCTCGAAAGAGCCCTCGTGCCTGTAAGCAGCCCTCGTTGTTCCGATTAAGCGTCCCCTTTGGACGCGGACGTGGTGCACGACGCTGAACAGTTTGAGCAGCAGATACCGAAAATACACAAGCTATGAGTTTTACTTGTATTTATATGTTATGTATATGTTTTATGATGTAGGAGATGTTTAATGCTGTATGTTGTTGTAAAATGCAAGAGTTCCTCTCGGTGCTTTATTTTGTATCTCTATGTATATTCTTGTTTTTTTGTTAACTTGCATATTCTTTTTTCTTATTTGTATATTCTCTTGGCGATGTATGTTGGTTGTTTTTATACTGTATAAAGTTATTGCTTTTTATTTTCTTCGATTTAGTTTTTTGCTGATATGCAGCTCTTTGCGCTTCTTCAATCAAGCTTTTGGCTGTATGTGATTCCCACGATTTAAATTTACCAAAATTTATTGGTGTACAGAAATGTGACGGGCACAGGGAACTGCAGACTTAGAGCAGCTTCAGTGAAGGGCTTTTGTTTCCAGCTCATACAGTAAACAATGCGGGAAAAGGTGCGGTCTGTGGCTATGTTTCTTTGACGCTACTCGTTATTTTAGAGAGAACTGGACCAAAGCTAGGAGCAGTGCACGGGTAAATTGTGTTTGTCGGTGCCTGAAATTTGAAAGATGAAAGTTTATTAA